GACAATAATCTAGACGCGATTATAGTATTATTGGGCATCATGTATATAAATGGCAAATGCAATACATGGGACCATGAACTCTCTTTAAGTGTGTAATCTTTCTTATTATCGGTATTCCTATTATAAATACTATGTACTAAAAAATCATATTATATAAAACTGTGTATAAATAATCGTGTTTGTTCTATATACAAAACAAGACTAAAGCTAGTATTCAGTTGATAGTCCAGTAGTTCTAATACTTAAGACAGTCTTAAGATAGTAAAAAAAAGAAAGCATCTTAAAGCATTACTTAAGACGGTCTTGAAAGAGAACTATTTTAAATATCGACTTAAGATTTAAACATAGTATAATTTTATTAAAAAAAAACATACTTAAAAAAATTATTAATATAAAAGCTTACAATTTGTGAAAAGTTTATCTGCAGTTTATTCACATTTTCTTTTAAAAAGTTACAAAAAATCAATCGTAGTATTTATAACTTTTTTTAATATTATGCAGTAATTTAATCATTTAGTTGTATTTCAGCGACGGCACGATACTTTCTCTCGCTGACATCGCCAAAGTTAATTTTTACGATCCCGTTATCGGCTGTAAGTTTAACAAAAGCGGCAAAGGAACTGAAAATGGATGTAAAAATAGTGGTTCTCGGCAAGCTAGATGGATATGAATCGGTAGACGATATTTTAAAGGGTCACGATAGTCGCGAGGTTGCTGAATTCAAATGCACTCCGATCAGCAACCCCGACGAAGTTGGCCTTATTGTTCTTTCTTCAGGTACTACAGGCATGCCAAAGGCTACTGAAATTTCGCACACTTCTATACACAATCGCATGCTTCCTGTAAAAGTTGCCGAAATGAAAGGTCACGTTTGCATGTTTACACCGGCATTACGTTGGCTATACGGTGTTAGGCTTGCATTTAAGACCATTTTGGCATGTTCAACCAGAATTGTTGTACCAGACTGTGACAGAATTATTGCACCAGACGGTGTGACAGACGATAATGAATGTGATATGTACTGCAAATTTATCGAGAAATATCAAGTAAATAAAAAAAATAACTTCTAAACAAATATTTGAATAAAATTTAATGCCTATTCGGAGATTAAAATAGAGTTGAAGAATGATTTTAATAATTAATACTATGTTTGACTATGTTTAACTTTCAGGTAACGTGGTTTTGTACTGATCCATTCATTCTAGTCCAAATGATTAAGACGGATATATTAGAGAAATTTCGATTGTCGTCATTAAAGGTTATTATTACAAGCGGTTCTATTTTCCAAAACCAATATCAAGAAACATTGAGAAAAAAATTACCACAGATCGGAAGAGCACACGTCT